TGGCGGCGCTGGACGGCGGAAAGTATATATATAATTATAATAAAGTTATAATAAATTAAGTTAATATATAATTATATATACAGTACCTAATTTATATATAATTTATATATAATACTGTACAGACGATAGTAAACTCAATTTACCCACCTAAACTCTCCGTAGCGTGGCGCTGGACGGCGGAAAGTAGTTCGGCTGCCCGATGACGTTTTACCGAATTATAGGAGTTTCTTTTACCATGTTTGTACGGATACCGTCGCAATTTTTTCGCCGTCATATAGGAATCCGAACTAGAGGAACCCGTGTTATACGGGGATCGACTATATATTAAATTATTCAAACTTCAAGACACCATTAAAAATTAAAATTGCATTATAGTAAACATTTTTGTTTTAGTTAACTGTATAAGTTGGCGACTCCACAGAAAGCCCGTCGCGACCCTCTTCTGGGTCGCGACCCATAGGTTGGGAACCCGTGATTTAGAGTGTACTGTTCATTTTAGGTTCAACAGTTTATTTACATATGCCGTTACTTAAGCTTTCTCCTATTTTGACATATTAAAAAGTTGCATTTTTGTCTTAACGTAATAAAAATATTTTTGTTCAACATTCACCATCAATGCATGCTGAATGTCGACATTTACCGGTGTAAGTTACAACATTTACAATAATAATCGTATCAACTAGTGATTGATTCAAATATTTTAATTTTTCTGTGCATTTAAAGTTTACTTTCATACCTAATTTGCTGAATTTGGTTTATAAAACGTATGCCAACAAGTGACTTTATTCGTTTTGAAATTTAATACTGTATATTCATTTAGCAGCCTTTACAAATTTTTTTTGTATATTTTATGGATACACTATAATTCATAACGGGAGATAATAGTAATCGGATGTATCTCCAGTAAGGTCGGAGTTAATGACGATTAACTATAAACGTATAGTTTAAAAATACGTTTAGTATATCAAATTTATACGAAATATTTAAAAATCATTTAAGGAGAAACTAAAAGTTTGTAAAGAGAAAATTAGAATATAAATCCACATAATTGAACTTTCAGTTTCATAATATTCGGGTTAGAGCTTCATTTTCAGGTGACGGTGTTACTATCGGGACGTGGTGGAATGGCGAACGGCCTCGCCGTCTCTACAAAATGCCACGAGAGTCCTACGACGGTAACACAACGTGGCGGGATCATGCCGCTACTAAAATAAGCATGCGACTTTCGATGTGTCGGGCAGGATGCCTCCGAGTTCGAGCCCGTGCGAAAAAATGGAACAACACGAAACAAGTTCAGTGGCGATTGTAACATGTATTAGACGAACAGTTGCATATAACTGTGACTTCTCACAAATCAGTACCATGTTAGAAAAATCAAGCTAAACTCTTACTGGCTACTGGCAGTCGTGTGACTGACTCTTCATCGTCATCGTTGCAAATGTAGTGGACTATAACCGTTTTTCCAACAACCGCGTTTTCTTTACATGGCTCCGGAGAAAATTATGATTGTTTTTTCAGTAAATTAACTTCACCATATCATTTACTCTACAAAATGGCACGTTCAGTTTATAAACGCATATAAGTGAACTTTGATCATTCTTTCCTCGAATTTTCAATTAAAATAGTTCACATATGATTGACCCACAGATAACCGACAACATTGCAACTGTAGCCTAAATATCTGCTAATTTTAGAATTAGTTGACCTTTCAAAACCAGTAAAATTGAATAAGTATTGACTTTTTACATTTGTTTTGTTTGGCAAATGATTTCAGTTTATTGAATAAATCGAATAGCAACGAATATACAGATTTCTTCTCTGATTGGTCTTCTGTCAAGCAATCGGGGTTAGTTTCTGGAAACCAAAAAACTACCACAAAATGGGTGTTGCCTTGACCTGACTTAATGTGTGAAAATCTTATCGAAGTTTTGCAGATAATATTTTCTACAGACTAAGAACAGCCGACAGAAATTTGAAAAGTGTTTTAAAATAACTGTTATCAAACAGTGTTCGTTATTTTCTTAAAAATCATATTAAAACAACATTAACTAGCCCCAGTTCAGCCTTACAGATGTGGAGAAAACCAGGAGAACTTCACGTGGCCAGCTCGTCCTGGCGTGGCGCGAATCCACAACCGAAAAGAACCGATCGTCGATCAGTGTACCTTTTATACATAACTTATAGTAATTAACAATCTCTAGAATATTTAAAATAATTCTACTTATCAAAGGTTTTAATTGCTTGACTAGAAATAATGATTATTTATAAGCTTAAACAGGTGTCTTCTACATTGGCTTATAGTATGGGTCTGCTTCTACATGTGGGTGGTGCATCCGGCATGACATGTTTTTAGAAGTGAGAATGGATCATCGAGGTGATTGGCTACGTTTATGTCGAATTTTCTATTCGCATAATGTAAAGCTAAATTAACAACAACTTCTTAAAACAAACCCAATTGACAGATGGAATGTGTCTCCTGAGAGTGTTGCGGGAAATCGTATACAATAGATGTTAAAAGCTGCATTAATTAAAATTACAAGCAAAATGTTTAGACGTATATCATGTTTCTAGATGTATAATATTTTGGATCAGCATTACACCACATTATTTTTAAATAAAGTAAAAACACGATTATATTTTTGTGCTAATCAAAAATGTTTATAAAGTATTTTGCTATTTATAAATTAATTAACGAGATAGATTAATTGGAGGAATATCTGATTATTAAGATTTACACAAAAGATCAATGTAATAGAGCATCTTCAAATTCATACGGGAGAGAAACCATATAACTCCGATTATTGTTTACAAAAGTTTGCTTAAAAATACAGTTTGAATTCTCACATAAAACACCATAGCAAACAGATTCTTAATTAATATGAATATTGTAAAACTATGAACTTTGAAAGGAATAATATAATTTCCAACGGAAAAAAAATTTACTCCAACGGAACTTGAAACAACAACCGAGTTAACATGAAACTAACGCTCCAAACCACACTACAGGTCACGTTGTCTACGTTGTAAATTATAATGGTGTTAGCTGATTGTGAAGTGACTTCAACGTCATGCTGTTACTCGTAAGCACGTAATGGTCCACGTAGTTATATGCTAATTTCTTAGGTACTTATATATGTGAGATCACAATAAATACACGTATAAAGCCAGTTTTACTGTCGGATATACAGAATATACAAGTAATGCAATTAAAAAATTAAGTGCTCCTGCAAAAAGGCGGTGACGTCAAAGTCATGTGGCATCTGCAGCCAATTACCGTATAATTTCTTTCCATTTCTAAGAGTGTGTTTCCTCCGTTCTTCCCAGTCAACCGCGAGAGTTCAGTGCGGAAACGAGCCGAAGAAATGACGGATCCAGTGATGCAGAGTCGGTAAGTACTTGTATTGTTTTCTGTTTATAACGTATCCATGTGTGTGGGCGCGGAATAATTTTACGTGTTATTTTAATTTTTGCCATTAACTATCGTATGTGCCTCTTTCATAAAAAAAAAAATTGAAAGAAAGCGATGCTGTGCTGTTATCGAGAGCTTAAAAAATAACGTGATAAATGATAAGTTGATTTTCTTTTTGTTATTTGTACTTATTTCATCACATATGTTCGCGTCAAATGAACATACTCTTACTGAATTTTTATATATAAATTTTCTAGAATATTTAAACTAGTTTCCGGTATTTCAGTATTTGTCGACATGTAAATCGCGGATCCCTCAGTTCCATTAATAGGTGAAACGTTGAGTTCTTAAATGTAAAAGTGCTATTTATTTCTTAAACGCAGTTGAATGAATAAAAGAAAATGAATTACATTTTGTACATAAATTTGATTAAAATTAATTTTATGCCAATGTTTTTAATAATATATTTTGTTGGTAATTATTCATATTAAGATCGAAATGTTTTAAAACAATAGATAGAAAACGTGTTATAACAGAACTTTATAAACGTTATTGTTCTATAATTACAAGTTTCACGTGAAAGAACCAAATAACATTACAGAGAAATTCACTTATTCGACCGATTTATTATTTATCGGTCTACAAAGCGATAGAAATCATGTTCAGAATGAATATATAGGTACGATAGTGTTACGTTATACACTCCTTTCCCTTGTAAGCGACAAGACACTACATGACGAAACCCGACATGGAATAGCTACGAGCAATGCGACTCGACGCGCTAGGTGGGCTTTTAACTAATAACTTATCAGTTTAAGGCTTGTTTTTTCTTCAGTTTTTAATGTAAACTTGTAATTATGCTTTGTGTGAATGTCAGATACACGCGAGGACAAAATTTAATTTTTACTTAATTACGGGGCATCGATGTCCGTTTATTTAGAACATACGAAATAAGTTTTGACGAAAAAAAGACCTAAAGATTTTATTATCTGTTATTGAAAACAACATGTAATTGTTCATTCTTTGTATAATTAGAGTTTCGTAAGTTGCTTCCGGGTCAAGAAAAAATCTCCAGCTTTCCCCTCTTAACCAACTTGTTTATTCACTGTTTAGAATCGATGTTCATTGATGAATATTATGTTAGCATAATGATTTTTTACTTTAAACCTTTAAACTTGTATAACAAAATAATGGAAAATTCCAGGAAATCGCAGTTTGGAACTAGCACTATCAGTTATAACAGTACATTATACAATGACCTATACTCCGAGATTCAGAATACGATAGGTTACAGGAAAATCAATTTTTGTTCGTGGAGATTTACAGAACAATTCTGCACGAATCCTGTATTATTTAGCCTATATTATTATAACGACAACTGTACATACAAGTTTGTTTGTTTGTTTACCTTAATTATTTTTTAATTCTAGTCGATAAGTGATAGAAGAAGTATCGAAGATACATTTATTCAACAAAGGACCGTCGATAATCCGTCAAAAACTATAAACATACACAAAAATCTTTACATTAACAAAAGGTCACGTTGATATAAATATTAATACCTATTGATAATCAAATAATATCTTTGCTCTATCATACGAAGTGTCTCTTTTAAAATATACAGGGATATCTTTATTCTATTAACAGGATTGTATATTGGGCTACTAAACTCCTCAGTCTACTGAAAGGAGTATCCCAAAATAAATTCCTCTTCATAGAATAGAGATGTCTTTTCTTTCAAAAAATGCAGCGTTTCCTGGTACGATAGCTCCTAGGAAATAAAAATTTAATATCGCGGAACCATCATAACCCAAAATGATACAATACAAACCTTTAATATGTATTTAAATAATACAAAACCTTTAATATGTATTTTTAAAATATTATTAATGCATTTATTTATACACCATTGTTGGAAATACTACAAGTAATATACAACAGACATGTGTGTTTGAAAATAATAATAAATACCTTTCTGATGTTTTAGGATTTTTTCGAGTGAGATACGAATCCGAAACGAAAAAAACGAAGAAATTATTATATTAGAAGCTCAGTTAAATACAATCCTGAACAGGAATTTGGAACTTCTCATTACATATGTTGAAAATTCGAAAGTACTGTTTATGCCTTATCCAATCGAAACCATCAGACAATTCGTTACGTAAGTTTTTCTCAATACTTTACCTTTCATTTAATTGCAATACTTTGTAACATATTGTAATTTATATTTTTTAAACAGTTATGTACAGACAAACGATCCCGGATTGACATCTATTAAACAAGCTTTCTATCTGTATCATCTGAGTTTAAGATACGAGTTAGACAATTTAATAAAGAAATGCAAATCATTTATCATTCGGAAGATAAAACTGGATACCGTCTGTTCAATTCATGACTTTGCACGTGAGATCGGTGATCTGGTCATAACTTATTATTGCTGGGTAGGTTTCAACAAACACGGAGGAAAACTATTTGCAACAGACGACTTTATGTGCTGTAAAATTGCAACAATTGATAGACTGTTATCTCGAGCGATATATGAATCTGTCAGTGAATTGCATTTATTCCAAGCCGTGTATCAGTGGAGCATAGAAGAAGTTAAAAAAATAATGGGTGAATATCGCTTCCATTCGTTGAATGAAGAATCGAAAAGGAATGAAATAAGAAATGTTATGAAGCCATTTATTGGAAAAGTCAGATTTCTTGCCATGAATGAAGAAGAATTGCAAACTTTTGTTTATACAATGAACTTGTTAAGCGAAGAAGAAAAGAGTCATATCTGGCATGCTTATAAGACTGGTGTTTATTCCTTTTATCCCAGTTACTTCAGTCGAGAAACAAAAACCAGAAGCGGAATAAATTATTGTAACTTGTTCTCGTACGTAAATCGTGGAGTTCCTTTTATGGTCGCAAACAGAAAGATGGAAAATTACATATATTTTAGCAGCGAAGTAGTTGTGAGGGAAGATTGTTTTGTCACGGTTCTTCGATTTCCGGTGAAGCTTGGCAAAAGTTTTCCAATGTACGTACACGCGTATATTAACAATTTGAATAACGTATATTTTTCGTTTGAAACCGTTTGCAATCCACGGGGAGTAGCAAATTTGGAAACGAAGTTTGTATTTAGAAAAATATTCGTCTATTCGTTTTTTTGCTTACTTTTTCCACGCTGAAAATGTCCAACCCGATATCGAGTTTTCACCTGAACTGAGTTACTTTGTGAGCGACGAAGGAACAGATGCCAGGAAATTTGAAGACAAAATTCTAACCGGTGACAGAAACCTTATGAATAATATTTACTTTTCGGTTGATTTATATTTTTGAAATCATAAGTTTTCCTAGATAAAAGCGAAATGTAAACGAAAATATAATGTAAAGTTAAATTGGAATATGATTATTTCTTAGTGTATCGCTGTAAAATTTTCGAAAATATGTGTGTACGTGAATGGTAAAACGAATTTATTGGGATTACAGGAAACAAAATTTAAATTTAAAGTGCTTATTAATGTAATTTTTTTCAGGAAAGTATATTGTCATTAGTTGAGTTGTTTGTAATTTAAAATTTAGTATTTTCAAATATATCATCATCAAGAACGTTTATAATTGTCAGCATTTTAATAATAATTTCGTGCGCGATTTCATTTTTTATCGCAGAGATGTTCGAGAAAGAAATATAATTACAATCTTACAGTATTAATGTTTTATTTCTTCATGTTAATGACGATAGAAATATGAAAAGTTAAGAAGAATTTTCGTCTAAATGTAAGAGCTATTCGATATCCACATTTGATTACAAAAAAATTAAACAGTAGCAATAAAAAATTCTGTTGGGTATTTTTATGTAAATTTTAGATACAGATAATAAATTTTCAATTTATAAATCATGCATTTTTAACGTTATATTAAATTATTCCAACAGAAATTCTTATATTTAAATTAATATATTTTTTTATTTATTTAAAATTTGTTAATTACCTGAGGTTACTTTATTATCTCCAATTCAATTTTCTAAAAAATGAACAAATTAATTTTCTATTATTTAATATTAAATTCTTGAATAAAACTTCAATATAAATATTAGAATAGCTGTAAATCACTTTGTCAAAAATATTCAATTGCACACAGCATGATTACGTTGGTGTCCCGGCTACGAAATACCCAAAATTTAATACTTCTTATAAAGCATACAATACAAATATATAATATAATCGAGACGGGGTGATGATAATAACAATATAAATATTAGAATAGCTGTAAATCACTTTTTCAAAAATATTCAATTGCACAGAGCATGATTACGTTGGTGTCCCGGTTAAAAAAAAAAAAACGCAAAATTTAATATTTCGTATAAAGCACACAATATAAATTTAACATAAATTAACTGATTTGTAAAATATCATGTTTTCAATTGTTTAGTTTAAATCATATATATTTATGGTTTTCTGGAGGACGTAAAGGGCTGCTTCACTTTTAACACTCCTTTTCAGAGAAGCGAATAAGTGGACCTCTTTTTTTCATATTTATTATAGAGCAACCGGTTATTCAAAAACAAGACCATACACGTTAGTTTTTCTTAGTTAACTAACTTGTCGATGTACCGGTCCCTGAACATAAAAACTTTAAGAAAAACTGCTCTAATTCATTTTACAACTAATGTTTCGAAAGAAACATTTTATATCCGAACAGAAAAGTCTTTGTATTATATAAATTATTGCAAAAGTTTTACGGATTATTGACTGTAAATGAAGAACAAAGGGATTTTTCATTGACTCGTGCGCAAGATTATCGAAAGATATACCGAGAAACATCGAAGAGAAATTATGCACAGCATATTCTAGTCTTGTAATTGAATGTTAGAAGCAACTACTATATCGAAAACTTTTATATTTCTCTGTTATTTATTTTTTTTTACTATTGATTAATATCCTCCACGTCACTCATCTTCGTGTTCGTGTTAAGCGTTCAAGTCGGCAAGGGTTAATGTCATTCTATCGAGATGAAACTTCGTCTTTTATTAATTCTGACCAAATGCAAAAACTTTAGTGGGTGGTCTCAAACGTTTTGACAGCATACTATATAAAATAAAACGGTTAAGACAAATATAAGCCATTTCTCTTTGTATTGATAAATTTAGACGACAAATCTATAATTATTTATTGTCACAGAGACGTCACATAGTTGTGGCAAGCGAAGTTTTCAAGTAGTGTCACGTGACACGTTATGTACTGTACGTCTCCGCTGTCCAGTATATTACTCCACCATCCAAACGAGTTTAAGCAATGGCGGCTGGAACGCTAAAGAATCTTTAAGCACTTCTATAATTTTTATTTTTATAGCGATTATAAAAATCTATATGTTTTGGACATTACTATCGAATGTGTATTTGTGAAAACAAAAACTAAAATGAAAATCTGTAATGGTAAGAAACTAATTTTACCGAAACGTCTATCAAATGTTTATCTAACAATAAACAAATTAATAGAAAACGCATAATAATAATGTATAATTTCATCACATTTTTTTTTAATATCTAAACTAACACAATTTGGACAATAAACGACATGACCACTGTACTTATCGTTCGAATAATTACGAGTTAGATACTGAACAGAAAACGAAAATTTCGCGATATATAATTACATTACGTATTGTACATAAATTCCCTTATAAAGTTTACGTAAACATTTCTTCAATAAAATGTTAAAAACACGTACTTACCGGGTGTAACGAGCAAGCGTATGAACAAACGAATGACAAATGTAAACTGAACCCTACTACGAAACCGTTACGTAGTATCGCCCCCTTTACTACAAAATTCCGATGCCGAGGGCCAAGGCTAACGCCAAATTCGTACTGCGTTGAATAGACTATTGACTAGTATAATGTTATTTGTTAAATTATTGTACGATATAACGAATAAAATATCTATTTTTAATATAATGTTTTACTATGACGCCCAGGAAATTGTTTTTTGCCCCCAAAAATATAAATTGTTACAAATCGCCCCCTCAACATGAAAAAATGCCCACATGAAATCTATATCGCCCTTGTTGAGACACATTGATCTATATGAAAAAAGCGTTTACGTTTATCACGTCTATTCTCGCTCCCCATGTTTAACTATTCGTTTCATAAAAGGGAATTTATCTTCGCGTATGAAAGAAAAACTTAAGAGCTAAAAGTAACATTACATTGGAAATATGCATATACGATTTTATATACGAATATACAATGACAATCTTATCATTGTTTTCAACATGTAGTATAGAAAGTTGTTATAAGATACATACTGCAATGGTAATAAAATATTAATTTTAATTCATTCAAAGTACGTTAAAATATGAAAATAATCACACAATACTTATACAGTAGAATCCCGGTTAACTAACTTAATCCGTTCTGCGACTCCGTTCGTTAACTGAATTGTTCGTTAACCGAAGCAATTTTTCCTATAGAAATGAATGCAAATGCAATTAATCCGTTCTAATCTTCGAAATTTTTGTGATTTTATTTGTAATATACAGTAATTTTCTTTGATGAAAATGTAGGAAAACGTAGTATCTATCATTACAGCAACAAACATGTAAAGTTTGTTTAATAAAATAGCACTGTACATGCTTTCGTTTGTTGTAGTAAATGGCAGAAAAGTGGATATATACGAACCTTAATGCTTAGAAGGGGAATCCCCTCCAAAAAAATAACGGGTAGCACTTCATCGGAAGATTCTTCGAGTCGAAGTCTCTTTCGGTAAAGAAACTCACCAGTGGCTAAGTGGTCTTCGTACCTTGAACACGGGAAGATCGTTCGAATTTTTCTCAAATGTGATAGCGCGTTGTCGTTTTCTATTGCCACTATGATTTTTTTTTTCTTTCTTAGATGCCATATTGATTAAATATATAAATCACAAAACTGAAAAAAGAAGTATAGCACAAACACTGGGAAAAGCAATGCTTAACTAACGCATGGCTAACACCAACTAAAATTTGACACAAAATACCGTTGCGTTCGTTATCCGAGACAAAATTTTTGCAAAATAAAAGTTCGTTAACCGATTTGGTCGTTAACCAGGACGTTCGTTAAACGGGGTTCCACTNCGAAATATTTGTATTTTATTTCACACGAACAGTATATAATATTTTAAATTGTATTTACACAAACTAAATTACAAACTTCATATATATAAACAAGAATACAAATAATGAGCACTTTTTGTACCTAAAAATTAATCATTTACTTAATATACAGTTGAGGTAAACTTATTAAAATCTCTAAGAGAATGTGGCATTTTCCTTACAAACTAATTTGTGAAATTGTTTTAATTTTAATTAATTTTATTCATTTTTGAATTGGCAGAAGTGGATTAATGCCGAATGTTTTTAATTTCGATAAATGTAATTAAAATTGCAATTTATCTTAAAAGTTACTTTTATATATTTTTATATATAAAATTATTTATTTTCTATATTTTATGGGTGCTACTGTTTATTCATGATCTATTTTCTTTTTATCACATTTTGTATGTACACGTGCCTTATCGATTAAACTCTTTTTATTTTTTATTTTCTACTCTTAATTCGTTTTATGTCTAAATATAATATTCAGGACGTTTTAATAGCATTAAATACTTATTAAAAAACATAAATTTAATGATAGTTTCTATTGGTCGATATCGTCATTACATTCTCGCAGACGACTTTATATACGAGCTTGAGGCAAGAAATTTCATATTCGTCTTAAAATATTAAAGTATAAGCTCATTTATAATAAAAGGTGAGTATAAATGTTTTAGTTTAAATTGATTTTAATTTATTGTAATTTTACAAAAGTTATCATTGTGCTGATAAATAAGTAAATTAAACGAGCAATTGTTCATTGCGCCGTCGTCATAATGCCAGATTGCAATCTCTAATCATATTTTGAATTTATTTAATTTAAAATATATGCTTTACACCTGAAATTAGTAGTCTTCCTCTGTACAGCATACTTTTCCTGTTGAGTCGTGCCGCTCATCAATCTAACTCCTATGTGAGAAAACTTTTTGAATGCAAATAACGTGACTTCTGGTTAGTACCAGAAGTACGTATAGGGGAGATCGGGGCAAGATCGGCATGTTACGCTTTACTTAAATTTTGTGTAATAAATACTGCTGTAAACTGAAAAAAAANTGCTTCCGCGGATGTCATGCCACTGATATATAAATAAATATATGGTTTACTTTTAATATTAATTTTATTATTAATTCTACTGCAGAGAGAACGTAATAAACGGGTCAATTCACAATGGACGACGGTAAACTGGGAGAAAGTACCTTAAAAAACTGTTCACAGCATCCTCAGTTCATAAAAATCACAAAACTTACGAAGAAAATAACTAAAGCAAAGGTTTTATCTTTGTTAAAAGTTGTACTTATATTTATCGTATTTTTTATTAAACGTAAATAACCATGTTCAATTTTATTAATTTTACTTAACAGATAAAGAATTTAATGCTCGAATTAAAATGTTTTATTTATGTAATGACCCATTCGAAATACGATGAGGAGGAAAAAAAACAATCAATTCGTCGCCGTTGATGATGTAGGGGGCTAGCCGGGGTTACGAAGTTGGTAGAACCAGTATCAGTAAAAGAACTATTAATAACTACATTCTCATTTATTTATCAGATTTTTCAACAATGGTCTTAAGTATTGCCAAATATCGTTTGTACATTAAAAATTTCTTCGTGTAAACAATTGTAAAGTTTTCAAAATATCATTTATTTGAAAGTTGATGCTACAGTTATTATTTTTTCTCAATGTCTAATTTCTACATTTTTTACGATGTAT